GGGAGGAGGGAGGAGGGAGGAGGGAGGAGGAAGATGAAGAGGAAGGAGGAGGATGACGAGGATCCGGAACAAGATGGGGAAAAAAAAATTGCATGCCAGTGTGCCCCGTGGCATGCAAGGGGCGGAGAGGGGGAGGAAGGCAGGGGAAGCAGGAGGAGGGAGGAGGCAGGAAGAGGAGGAAGAGGGAGGAGGATGACGAGGGCGAGAACAAGATGGTAGAAAATCCATCACGTGCTGGTGTGCCATGTGGCACACCAAAGGAGGAAGGAGGAAGGAGGAGGACGAGGAGGAGGAAGAGGGAGGGGGATGACGAGGGCGAGAACAAGATGGAAGAAAAAAAATCAGGAGGAGGAGGAGGAGGAGGAGGGAAGGGGATGACGAGGGCGAGAACAAGATGGAAGAAAAAACATCACATGCTGGTGTGCCACGTGGCATGCCAAGGGAGGAGTTGAGGAGGAAGGAGGAGAAAGGAAGAGGAAGGAGGACGGAGGAGGACAAGGGGAGATGAGGAGGAGAGGACGAGGAGGAGGGAGGAGGATAACGAGGATGAGAACAAGATAGACAAAAAAATTTGCATGCCGTTGTGCCACGTGGCATGCGACAGGAGGAGAGAGGGAGAGGAAGGAGGAGGAAGGAGGATGAAGGAGGATGAAGGAGGAGGAAGGAGGAGGGATGAGAATGAAGGGAGATGGTGAGGAAGGAGGAGGAGGAGGGAGCAGGACAACAATTGCAAGAAGAAATTGAAAAAAAAGGATTGTGTGTGGCTGTGCCATGTGGCACGGGACAGGAGGAGGAAGGAGGAGAGGGGGAACGAGGAGGAATTTGGGTAGAGGTGGAGGCAGGAGGAGGAGGGGAGAAGAGGAAGAGGAGGAGGAGGAGGAGAGGATGTGAAGGACAAGAATAAGAAAAAAAAAGAGAATCACGTGTCTGTGTGTCATGTGGCATGTTATGGGAGGATACAGGAGGCAGAAGGACAAGGAGGAAGGAGGAGGACGAGGGGAGAAGAGGAGACGGAGGATGAAGAGGCAGGAGGATGACGCGGACGAGAACAAAATGAAAAAAAATTGTGTACCTGTGTGCCTAGTGCCCCACAACGGGAGGAGAGAGAAGGAAGGAGTAAGGAGTAAGGAGTAAGGAGGGAGGAGGAAAGAGGAGGACAGAGTAGAGAGGAGGAGCAAGGAGAAGGGAGGAGGAGGGAGGAGGACGAGGGGAGACGAGGAGGAAGGAGGACGATGATGAATGAGGATAACGAGGATCTACGGAAACCCATTCCAACTAACAATGGGTCACATCCATTCAGGAACAACGGCTACAGCACCTACCTGTGATACTAGAGTCTAAGACCAGATTCTAGAATCTAAGACTGAGGTCTACGGAAAGTTGGAAACCCATTCCAACTACTTTAAATTTACTAACCAGAACTCAGCCATTACCTGCAAGCCCTACCAAGCTAAGAATGGGTCACATCAATTCAGGAACAACGGCTACACCATCTACCTGTGAGGCTAGAGTCTAAGGTCAGGGTCTAGAGTCTAAGACTGAGGTCTACGGAAACCCACGCCAACTACTGTAAATTTACTAACCAGAACTAAGCTATCCTAAGGTTATGGGTCTATATCTACCTATCTCTCTCCTCTATGAGGGGAGCAGTACCCAAACTCCTAATCCCCGGCGCGGGCTGGAAAGAGTTCCTTCCACAACCAAGCCAGGAGGCCCAAGCCAACAATCTCAGCTTGTGAACCCGAAGCATCTGCCAGGAGGCCGTAGGGGAAAGGACGACGTTGGGTATCGAACCCACGACCTCCTGAGTGCCACTTACGTGCTCAACCAACTGAGCTATATGTCCTTACTGTTGCGATCTGAGAGTTTTTTTTTTCATGTAACCCGTACTAACCACTGATTGACTGACTGGGCCCAATGTGATGCCGATAAGCCATTGTCGACTTACAGATTTGGAAAATGGGGTCGCTGTTTTATCATCTGAGCTGAGCTTCAGGATTATTTTCCATCAGCAACAGTCGTAGCCCAGTTGGTACACCCATTAACTGTTGAAATACAGACCCCAGTTTGAATCCAGATGCAATCGGATGACAGAATAAAATCATTCTGACTTATCTGGGGCTGGTTAGTTCTGTGATGATATCTCACGGCTGTCGCCTTAAAAAAAAAAAAAAAAAAAAAAGGATTCTTTAAATTTCTTTTCCATCTCGCGCTAATCTCTGGACCTGGGCCCGTTAGTTTTGAGGGCCAGTTGGTACCCGAATTTCACCGTATATTCTGTTATGTTCATTTGGGCGACTTCTGGACCCGTAAGCCACTCTCTCGGGGCAAATTCTAGTTCTACTATGCTCTGCTGTCGGTGGGCGGTTTTTCAGGGTTGGAATCTAGACACTGGGACTTTCCTCCGTAAGCTAGAACGCTGCGACCGCTTTTATTTCTGGGTCCGTAGCCACTCTCTCAGATCGAAATTCTGAATGACCGAGAGAGAGTGTCGGCCAAGGAGTGAGACTGTTGTACCAAGCGGCCATCCAGGTGGAGTCCCAAACACGTTTAGCTCGATATGCTTAGAGGCTTAGCTGACCTGGGTGTGAGACTCTACCTGAACAGGATCAGGGTTAGCTAGATATGTCCAGTACCTGGGGTAGGGTAATAAGCTGAGAGTCATGATTTGCCCATGAAACTGAGAGGAGGGCATCGAGGCAGACGGGTAAATACCTTCAAGCAAAAGGAAGAGAAGAACTGGTCTTGATGGGAACCGATGCTCTCCTTTTCGAGCATCGTTGTCGTTACCGTTATAACGCTGCTCTGTCAGCGTCAGACCTCTGTGATTTCGATGAGTGCTACAAATCGTCCAGGGCAAGTTGGTAGGAAGAAGAACCTTTGGTTTAGACGTGATGTCCATCGGCAGCAATAGCAGAGTCAGCAGGCTCTGGCAAACGAGTACTCCATGTCTAATCTCAGAGGGAGTTTGTCCTAGAGCAACACCGCTCTGAAGCATAGCTCTGCCTTCCCCCTCAGACAGATGGACAGACCGGGAAGGTGACTAAAGCTCTTTCGTAACAGGAATCGCCAGCACGATCTCTCTGCACCAGTCCTGTTACAGTAATCGCCAGCCATGGCTACCTTCCTTCTCTCTCTCTCTCTCTCTCTCTCTCTCTCTCTCTCTCTCTCTCTCTCTCTCTCTCTC